TTAGAATATTCTAAAATTCTAAAAATTCGATTTGATTATTTACAGTGTAATATTCTATTAGAATATTTCACGTATATTTTGAAAAAAAGGGTAAATTTTTTATTTATTTTTTTGGATAAAGTAAATAACGAAAATACTATTTACAAAAAGAATTTTAGGATTTTTCTTTTTATTTTGCATTTTACAGGTTTTATTTTTATTTTTTGATCTCCAAGATGAGTGGTTAGGATCGTGTCATTATGTCTTACAAAATTAGCATGGTTATATATATATATATATATATATATATATATATATATATATATATATATATATATATATATATAGGTGAGATCCGTTGAGAACTCATAGTTTCTCGAGAAACCGAGAACTAAAAGTGGAGCGTTAAATCAAAATCAACTCATTAAGGGAATGATCGTCATCTTACGTTGGTATGATACTACCGTGGTATTGAAAACTTTGTACTAATAGGGTACCATGATTACTCAATTGGTACATATTGGTTACCGACATTTTTGGTTCGGTTAGTAACATGTTGGTTGGTTTTCTGTGGTACATATTTATCACCTTAGTAGCTATCGTATATTGATTTTTACAACCTTTGTGTACAATGTATTTTTTTAAAGTTTTTTACAAAAATTACGATGTGTATATTATCATGATTACGGTGTTGAGTTGATCATTTTGATTTGCCACTGAAGATGAAGAAATGATGAAGGATTATGCCAAGTTGTGTTCATTGATATTATGAGGAGCCAACGGAGATGGATTAGTTTTTTTTTTTTTTTTTTAAAGTTTGTAATTTAATATAATTGTAATAATGATATTTTAAAAATGACAATAAAATGGATGGAGTTAAGGACTCAAGAAGGAACCTTGCAATAAAAACCAATATTTTAAAAACCGGTTCGAAGCCATCGATCGAATTGAGACCTGGGTAAATGAACGGTTCATCTATCACTGATTTTATGTAAATTTATAGTCCAGATCGAACCAGACATTTTCTTCAAGAACCAAGTTAATAGAACCGATAAATAACCATTTGAACCGGTTTATTGGACTTAGATAATTAGATTTATTTAGCACCTAAAAACACCTCATTTCCAAAGAAAATTAAATATCTTGATCTATGTAAAACTTATTATTATGTGTTTTTTTAAATGTATTTGGATTGATCTACCATTTATTGTTATGTATTTATGTGTATTTTTAATGTTTGAATATGTTGATGTCGAATTCTTGGTTTTTTAAATATATTTATCCAGTAAAATAAATAAGGGAAAACTGCAATAAAGTCCTTACATATTGGCCTCATAATCGATTTAGTCATTATATATATTTTTTATTCAATTAAGTCCCAAATACCGGTAATCGTATTCAATTTAACCCATTGACCCGGTCAACAGGTCATCCAATTTACGAAAATTACATTTTTGGCCCAGATTTCAATTTTTATTACAAATTTGGTCCAAAAATTACACTTTTGGCCCAAATTTTAAATTTTGTTACAAATTTGATCCAAACTTTACCCTTTTGGCCCAAATATTAGAATTTTTTTATGAATTCATCCTAACTTTAGTTTTTTTTACAACTTTTTTTCTCAAAATTTTGTTTCTAATGTGTTTTTTCTGTATAAAATCATATTTATACAAAAACACATATTTTTTCACATAAAAATTTATATTTTCTATATAAAAAAAGTTTTAAAAAGTTTTTTGTATATGAAATATCTACTTATAAAAATAGGTATTTATTAAGTACATAAATATATACAAATCCGTTTATAAAAAACATGTTTTTTTTTATACATCGTGTTTGTTTACATTTCTTTTATAAAAACGTGTTTGAATAATTTTTTATATAATATGTGTTTGTATATATTGTATAAAATGTGTTTTTTTACATTTTATAAAAACGTGTTTGAATAATTTTTATATAATACGTTTTTGTATACATTTTTAAAATCGTGTTTGTATACATTTTATAAAAACGTGTTGAATATTTTTTTAATATAATACGTGTTTGTATACATTTTATAAAATCGTGTTTGTATACATTTATTAAAACCGTGTTTGAATAATTTTTATATAATACTTGTTTGTAATTATTTTATATCGTGTGTTGTATACATTTTATAAAAACGTGTTTGAATATTTTTTTTATATAATACGTGTTTGTATACATTTATAATAAAATAGGTGTTTGCATACATTTTTTTGTAAAATACGTGTTTTTATACATTTTTTATAAAAACGGTTTGTATATATTTGTATACTTAATAAATACCTATTTTTATAGTAGATATTTCATATACAAAAAACTTTTTAAAAAAAGCTTTTATATAGAAAATATAAGATTTTTATGTAAAAATATGTTTTTTTTGTATAAATATGATTTTATAAAGAAAAAACATATTAGAAACAAATTTTTGAGAAAACAAAGTTATAAAAAAACTAATGTTATGATGAATTCATAATAAAATTCTAAAATTTGGGCAAAAAGGGTAAAGTTTGGACCAAATTTGTAACAAAATTTAAAATCTGGGCCAAAAGTGTAAATTTTGGACCAAATTTGTAATAAATTTTGAAATCTGGGCCAAAAATATAATTTTCGAAAGTTGGATGACCGATTAACCGGGTCAAAGGGTTAAATTGAATACGATTACCGGTATTTGGGAGTTAATTGAATAAAAAAAATATATAAGGACTAAATCGATTATGAGGCCAATATGTAAGAACTTTATTGCAGTTTTCTCAATAAATAATATATAATTTTTTTAAAAATTGGATTGAATCTGGTCGCTGACCGGTTTCATCTAAAAAACGGGTTTCAAAACATGGAAAGAAAACAAGCTAAAAGAAAATTGACGCAAGAAAAGTAATTTGAAGTGAAGTTGCAGTGAACCATCAAACGAAAGGGACCATTTATGTAATTTAGTGTTATTCCTATCAACAGTTGAACACGCAAGTCTCAGGTACGGAGAAAATATCAGTTTTGTCCCAATTGTGTGTTCTTTCATCGTCAAATGGTCCTTGTTTTTCAATAGCATAGCAGTGGTATTTGATTTTTCAAGTTTCAAACGATATCTGAATTATTGTCATATGTATTTGAAGGGTGATTCTAAGCGCACGAACAAATATCTACCTACACGAATGAACCAATTGAATTGATGTATTTGACCTTTTACTGTGAGTTTTTAATCATTTTTTACCTAAATTTTTATTGTTTTTTATTATTTAAATGATGGTGGAGTGTAAACGTTTTACTCTTAACATATCACATTTCGATTTATATCACTTTAATAAATATGCACGTAAGTTATAGTTTATACATCATTTATTTGATTTTCTAATTTATTTCCTTATTAATGTTTTATCCCTTTTTGCTTTTTTTTGTTTTCTTTAATCTTAATAATTTTAATAAATAAACATTATTATTATTATTAACTTAAGAATATATTTTTTGTTCGTTCAAACTATTTTTGTATTATTTTTTCATCGAAACTATCACTATTTTTCTGTTTGGATTATTATGTATGAGAAATTAATTATCCTCATATTTTTTCTTTCATATCCATCATTCTATCAACTTTAGATAATGACAAATGTAATAAAAATTTATTAATTTTATTAAATATGACAATATCACAATCTTAAGTGTATAGGAAAATGACAGAACAAATAGGATGATATTTGATTTCTCATTATACTATTATTATTTCATTTTCACTATTCATTTATTATTCTTTGTTCAAATTATATTCATGTTATTTTTTTTCGTTACGATTATTTTTGTTTGTTTTTTGGTCGGATTATCTCGTGTTAGTTTTTCCGTTCGGACTATCCATGTGTTATTTTTTTCGTATAGACTATTTTTGTGTTATTTTTTTTGGTTTCGACTATTCTTGTTGTTATTTTTCAGTTCGAACTATTGATGTGTTGTTTTATCATTCAGATTATCTTTTTGTTATTTTTTCGTTATGCATCATTGTGTTATTTTTTTTTTTTTGTTTTGACTATTCTTGCCTTGTTTTTTTCGGTTGGATTATCTTCATGTTATTTTTTCCGTTCAGACTATCTTTGTGTTATTTTTTCGTTCCGACCATCTTTATGTTTTTTTCGACTATCTATGTGTTATTTTTTGTTTGGATTTTCATTATGTTTTTTTATTCTGACTATCCATATGTTAGTTTTTTCGTTTGATCCACTACTAGAAAACTGGTGCAATAGCTACAGCAAAATCCGTAGCTATAAGTGGATAGCTATGGAATTGCTACGGAAAAATGCATGTAGCATAATGGCCCGTGGCTAAATTATAGCTACGGATTATCTACGGAATCACTGCGGAATAGCTACAGAAATAAATAGCTACGGATTTTCTACGGAATAGCTACGGAATTGAATAGCTACGGAATAGCTACGGAATTAAATAGCTACGGATTTAAATAGCTACGGAATAACTACGGAACTAAATAGCTACGTAATACCTACAGTTCTATTAGCGACGAAAATCCGTAGCTATTCAATCAATTTCAAACTTGCATCATGTACGTTTCAATGTCAAGGATTTACCAATAGGTAGGGCATGTCACATCCAACTACAAGGGCTCCTTAAGTCTTCTTAGACAATTACGAATTCCATTCCTTTATTATTATGCATTCCGTTAGAACTCCGTAGCTAATTAGTTACAGATTAGTTACATAATTTTTTTATTTTCGATTTTTCGGGCACCAAACGTCATTTTTTCAGCTTTGTTATTTTCACATCTCTATTATACATGATTATCTATATTTTAACCAACTTATAGCTGATAGTATCATTCATAAAGTCGTGCACCTTCGGGATCCATTACTCATTAATGGTTTAACATTGTAATGTTGATTAATATATTCACATATAAATACTCACATACACATATACATACACATATACCATCACTCATTCATGTATATAAATATACATATACAAACATAAACTCATCATAAGTTGGTGAAAAGTATATGCATTACAATGTTAAACCGTTAAACGAGTACTTGATCCCGAAGGTGCACAAGACTTTATGAACGATATTAATAGCTATAAGTTGGTGAAAATACAGATAATCATGTATATAGAGGTGTGAAAAAAACGAAGCGGAAAAAATGACGTTTGGTGCCCGAAAAATCGAAAATAAGAAAAATACGTACACACCATACACACATACACATACTACATAAATACATACATACACATACAAATATACATGTGATAATTGTGTTAATTTTTAGTTCGAACTATCTGGTGTTATTATTTTTTTATTCACATTATCCATGTGATAATTTATAGTTCGAACTATTTTTTGTGTTAATTTTTAGTTCGAAATAACAAATGTATAGTCTAGGTGAGTTGGAAAAATTACAAATTGGCTGGTCATTAAAAATGTAAATTAAAATAATAAAATATCTCTTTAACGTTTAGTGAAAGATAAACTTTATTGAAAATGAATTTGTATTTATATTGACAACAAAAATAAAAAATTATCAACATATATATTTTAAGATTTTTAGTATTTATTTTTATATGTGTATTACATATAAAGTTGTTGAATTTAAAAAGAATAAAAAGTAGAAGGGTTTGTTTTGTAACTTACATCTAATTTAAAGGATTAAAATGAAAAAATATAAAAACAATTGAAATTAAGAAATTGACAAATATGATGGGATTAATTGTTCACTATTCAAATTAATCTAATCATTGTTTATACACGAATTTATTCGTGCTAATAGGAGCACCCCTAAATCCAATATGGATCGGATCTTCTTGTTGTCTATGACATATCGTATGTAAACTGTGACAGCTGTCAGTTTCTCTCTCACACACAACATCATTACACATAGTGTCTTGTATCAACCGCCGTTAACAAACAAGATTTACAAGATATCTTGATCTGTACAACTTAGATGCCAAATTAACCTAAAAAACAACAAAAGACCACCCCATTCATATGGCAGCTACTGCCTCTTCACAGTCAAACAACCACCCTCAGAAGAAGAAACCCACACACAGCCACCATTAGTTTCAGACGCCGCCGTATCAAAGAAACCACCATTTCCACCTCCGCGACTTCTAATACAACCACCACTCACCACCATCACCCATCTGCTGTTTCCCCTGAAAACACCTCCTGGTGCTGCCCTCCCGCTGTCTCTTCCTACAAACCCCCACCTCCACCGTCGGTAACAACCGCCATTAATCCACAACCCATTTCAATTCCACCAGCAGAGTCTCCCTCACCGGAATCTTTATCCACTGAAAAGACTCAATCTTCACATTTCAATTATCGGTCAAATCTTGAAAAACCCAGATCGATACCCACAATGACAACTACCACCACTGTCTACGGCGCCGCCGGCAACAATCAAGAAGCATTACCGTCTTCCTTTACCCAATTTAACTCTGCCCTCACTGCCGGACTTTTAAATCCCGTATCGTCGCCACCACCGACCACCGATAAAACCCGATCCAGCCCTACCCTTTTCGAAATGATGGCTAACGAACCCGATTCTAAGATCCCCAACAATGGTTCAATTACAACTCCAAAAAGACCCAGTAATGGCCATGCGATCCCACCGCCGATGATAATTGACAAGCAAATTTTGATGCAACAAAGACTGTCTGATATTCTGTCCTGTCGTAGCCCCGGAAATCAGTTCAATGATCCAAATTCGAGTGATGTGAAGCTCACTTTGAGCTCCAAAGATGGGTTTAGTGTTTCTATGAATGTTCATCGGCAGATCTTAGTTGTTCACAGTCGTTTTTTCGCAGATAAGCTATCTGATTATCGTCGGAAATTGGGTCTACAAGGGCAACAATTAAAAGGTTTAATTGATAATGTTAATCCGTTCGTTGTTGAGATTTCTGATTGTGATGATATCGAGGTGTACATAGAGTCGATTAGGTTGATGTATTGTAAAGATTTAAGGAGGAAGCTAATGAAGGATGATGTTCCTAGGGTTCTTGGTATCTTGAAGGTAAAATCACAGTAATATATTTATTACATTGCATTATTATAAAGCTTAATTATTGAATCAATTACAAGTACTGTGAGACAGGTATCAGCAGCAATCGGATTCGATGCTGGAGTTTTATCTTGTTTGGAGTACTTAGAAGCTGCTCCTTGGGCCGAGGATGAAGAAGAAAAGGTTGCAGCTTTATTATCTGAGCTCAGGCTTGAAGGAGTCGGTGCATGTGAAGTTTTAAAAAGGGTTTCCATAGATGTTACACCTGGAGAAGATGACACCAACGACAACCAAGAAGTACTACTTAAGCTTTTACACGTTGTTCTCGAAGGAAAAGATGAAAAAGCAAGAAGAGAGATGAAAGTTTTGGTCTCAAAAATGCTTCATGAAAATTCATCAAGAAACGATTTGAAGAAAGAATCTTTGTATTCGGCTTGTGATAAATGTTTAAATTTGTTACGACACCATTTCTTGAAAGCTTCTAAAGGAGACTTTGAAGAAGTGGCTCAAATCACACGACAATCGGGTAATCTACATTGGCTTCTTGATATTTTAATCGATAGACAAATATCCGAGGATTTTTTAAAGATATGGGGATCACAGACTGAATTATCTCAAGTCCATTCCAAAGTGCCTGCCCTTCATAGATACGAAATCAGTAGAGTTACAGCAAGATTCTTTGTTGGGATTGGAAAAGGTCAACTCTTGGCTTCGAAAGAGTCAAGATGCTTGCTTTTACAAACATGGTTGGTCCCTTTTTATGATGATTTTGCTTGGATGAGGAGAGGGTTGAAAGGGCTAGATCGTAATTTAGTTGAAGATGGGTTGAGCAATACTATATTGACTTTGCCTCTTGCTTGGCAACAAGAAATCTTGATGTCTTGGTTTGACCGGTTTTTAAACTCGGGTGATGATTGCCCGAATATACAAAGAGGGTTTGAAGTTTGGTGGAAAAGAGCGTTTTGGAGAAAGCCCCAAATGCCAAATGTTTGGAACACATGATTGCTCAACCATGGTGTGTTTGTTTAATTTCTTTTTTCATATAGTAACCAATGTCATTGCTATCTCAATTAATTTTGCATTTTTTCACTTAATTTATATCTGATACGGGTCTTGATGAGTATCTTGATGGTAAGTAGGTGAAAAATCCATGAGAAATCTCTCTTGTTATATTGTGATTTAACTTTCTCATATTGGCCGGTGGACCAAAGTCCACGGATGGTGTATACCTTATATATAAGGGTGGTGTATACCTTTATATAAAATACAAGAAGTTACATTTTTTTTTCTTACTTGGTTTGTAGTTTAATGGATATTCGATCAAAAAAGTTTGAACAATCTTACTTTCTTAGTGTCGTGAAGCTTTTGGTCTTCATAACATCTTCAATTAGACTTGATATTTTATATGGAGTATATGTGTCTTTTCTTCATATGCGGATGAAATGGTCAAATGCACCTTTTTACGAATGTTATATAATGCACCTTTTTACGAGTATGAAATGGTCAAATGCGGATGGTATTTGGTTTCAAGTCTAGGTGTTATTTTTCCTGTTCTTAGGAACATTGTGAAAGTTATATTCAGTATGTTAATTATTTATAAAATCTGAAAGAAAGTAGACAATAAATGTTGGAAGATTAATATAATAATATGATCCCACCGATTTAACAAATATTATCACTTACTTGATCTATTACGTCACTAGTCCAATGTATCAACCATAGAAATTCCTGATTTATTGTATTTTTGTGGTTAATTGATATTAATATTGGTTTTTTTAATCTTATATTTTCAAAAACTGTTTTTTTTAAAGAAAAAAACTAGAAGCTAAAAACTCGCTGCTAACATGCCCTTAAGTATTAGGGAAAACTGCAATAAAGTCCCTATGTATTGTCCGTATAATCGATTTAGTCCCTATATTTTTTTTTGCAATTTAGTTCTAAATACCGGTAAACGTAATCAAAACGAGATATTTAATGGGTTAGCCGGTATCCCACCGGTATTATGCGCATGTGGCACCTTACGTGTACAAGAGAGTTTTACCCTTCCATTTCCACTGCATTCGACGTCTGGTAAATCAATTGAGAGAAAAAGTTAGGGTTTTTACAGAGTGAAACACGAAGGAAGTAGGGTTTTACTGAGAGAAACGAAGGTAAAACCCAATGGCTGTCGAATCAGAGGAAGTTCACCATGAGTCATCTAAAGAATACGACTCTGAAGAATACGAAGATGATGAGGAGGTGCTCGATACTGAGCACATAGATGTGGAAATGGAAGAAGATGATTTCAAGACACAGGGTAAAGAGAGATGCAAGGATGCTTTCCTTAACTTCAGTTCCGATTATGAAGATAATGAAGTCGATGAAGACAATGACTTAGTTGATGAAGATGAAGAAGGGTTTGGTTCAGAAGAGGAAATCGATGACACAGCAGGGGCTAATGATCTTGATTTGGGAGATGCGGTTGGTGCAGGCTTCCCCATTCATGACCCATCAGTTAAGTGGAATAAGATGAAGCCCCTTCTTGGTGAAAGGTATGAATCACCACATCAGTTGCAACAATGTCTCACTAATTATGCTATTAAGTCAGGGTATAACATTAAATTTGCGAAGTGTGACACTGTGAGATTAACTGCCAAATGTGGTTCTAAGATGAAGTCTCAACCCTGTCCATTCAGAGTTCATGCTTCCTGGATGACTCAAGAAAAGTATTTTCAGATTAAAACCTTAGTCGATGAGCACAAATGTGTTAGAAATTTCAATATTTCAAATTTACTGAGTCCCAGCTGGCTAGCAAGACACTTTTTTAAGGAGTTGATAATGAAACCTAACTTGAAGTGTAAGGAGATGCAATCAATAATTAGGACCAAATTTCATTGTGGTGTGTCTTGGTCTAAGGCTTACAGAACAAGGTGTAGAGCAATAACCATTATAGATGGTAAACTCACAGAACATTATGCTAGGGTGTGGGACTATTGTCATGAGTTACTAAGGTCAAATCCTGGTAGCACTGTCCAAGTGGGTGTCACTGTAAATCCAGATCAAACAACATACTTTCACAGGATGTATTTGTGTTTTAAAGCAATCAAGGAAGGTTGGAAAATAGGGTGTCGTAGGGTAATTGGTCTAGATGAATCTTTCTTGAAAGGGACATGTAAAGGAGAATTACTCACAACAATAGGGAGGGATGCAAACAACCAAGTTTATCCAATTGCTTGGGCAGTTGTTGACATTGAAAACAAAGCTAATTGGAAATGGTTTCTGGAACTGCTCACAGAGGATCTTAATCTGCTAGATGGAGGAGGGTTTACTGTAATATCTGATCAACATAAGGTTTGTAATTTCTTAGCATATTTATTGTTTTTCCTTACCATCATCTTATATGTTTATGTATTCATTACATTGTAGGGATTGCTTGAAGCAACCAAGGAAGTACTACCAAATGTGGAGCATAGACAGTGTGCAAGACACATATATGCTAACTTTAGGAAGACCTATTCTGGAGTGGAGTTCAAGAATATGTTCTGGGCAGCTTCCTTTTCAACTGTAGAGAGTGAATTTCTGAGGAAAATGGATGATATAAAAGAGGTTAATCCCAATGCTTATGAACATTTTCTAGCAAGACATCCTCAGACATGGTGCAGGGCATTTTTTAGGACTGATGTAGCATGTGAGGCAATTGAAAATGGCATTGCACAATGCTTCAACGCCATCATATTGGATGCTAGAAAGAAACCCCTTCTAGCAATGTTTGAAGAAATTAGGTTGTACATGATGGATAGGTTCTACCATATGTTACAAAAGGCAAAAAAGTGGGAATCAGTGGTTTGTCCAGCTGCTATCAAGAAAATGAACAAGTTTGGAGAGGATTTGAGGTTTGCCTTAGCATTTTTATTGTTCCTTATCATCATTATTCTAATTTCATTGTTCTGATTTCATTTAGTAATGTCATTGTAGGAATTGGAATGTGAATCAAGTGGACCATCTATTTTTGAAGCCAGGAATGGATTAGAAGGGTACGTGGTTGACTTACAAAGCAAAGTGTGCAGCTGTAGGCTTTGGGATATCTCAGGAATTCCATGTGTACATGCACAGTGTGCAATATTATTCACTGGACAAGATCCTGTTCAATTCATAAGTGAGTGGTTTAATGTGGACAGATTCAAGGCCATATATGCAAACAATATACTACCTGTGAATGGTAGAAATTTATGGTCTAGAACATCATACATAAAGCCTCTACCCCCTTTAGCTAGAAGAATGCCAGGGAGACCAACTCTAAAAAGAAAGAGGCATGTCACTGAATCTCAAGACAAATACTCCCAAAATAAGATGAAGGTTACTGGAATAGGAAGGACAGTCCAATGCAAAAACTGTCTTCAAAGGGGTCATAACAAGGCATCCTGTAAGAATCCCAAGGTCACACCAGAACCCAAACCCAAGAAAAAAATGGGTAGACCAAGACTGGATCTTGATATGAGTCATTGGACTAGAGGTGGTGTAAGAGGTGGTGTCATAGGTAGTAGAGGTGGTGCAAGGGGTAGTAGAGGTGGTACAGGGGGTAAAAGAGGTGGTGCAGTGGGTAACACAGGTGGTGCAAGAGGTGGTGCAGTGGGTAACAGAGGTGGTAAAATAGGTGGTAGGGGTAGTAAAAGAGGTGGTAGGGGCAGTAAGACATCTGTTGGAATTGAAGGTGGTGGAGTGGCTGAAGTTGAAGGTGGTGGAGTTGAAAATGAGGATGACACTATTCCTGAAAAATATTTAGTCCATTTATAGAAGGCAATGCAAGATTTGAAACTATCAGGGTATTCAATTGAAGAAATTAAAAATACACTTAGTCTGACAGATTCACATATGAAACAGCTCAATGATTACAATGACACTATTGAACAAGTTCTTCCTATGTCTATGGTAAACCCTTTATATTACCTTAATGTTAACATTCATTTATGTTATTACTTGCTTGATGTTTTACAGGAAGAGGAGTATCCACCTCAGACTGAGACACAAGATGGGGCTGAAGAAATTATCCCTGAGACACAACCAGAAAGTGAAGAAGAAGAAGAAGAAGAAGAAGAAGAAGAAAGCATTAATGACACCCAGGAATTACCAGTACACCTTAGAATTGTGAAAAGAAGAAGGCCCTCTAAGAGGATTGTTAAAACCAAGCTGAAGAAGATGGGATGTGTTGGGACTTCTGCAAATTCAGCATTGGAGTTGGATTAGGGTGCTAGGGTGTTAAGGGTAGTAAGGGTATTTTGGTACATCTTTTGTGAATGCTACTTTTGTGCATCTTTTGAGAATGCTACTTTTGTACATCTTTTGTGAATGCCCTTAAATTACTGATAGCCATATTTTGTACATCTTTTGTAAACACATTGAAACATTGTGAATGCCCTTAACATGGTTGGTAATGACATATTGGAGTTTGTTGTTTAATTATTTTAGCCACAAGTGTGCATACTTCATGGTTATATTTGTCAAGTGTACACCATTTATGCAAACCATAATAACATATTGACATTTCATTAACCAAAACATTACATGATCTACAAGAACATTTATCCATTACATCATGATAACAAACCAAAAGATTACATCATCCCTACCAAACCATAATACCCTACAACTTACACTAAACTAACCATACATTATCCCTACAATGAAACAAACGAAACAAACCATCATCCACTTGCAGAATCCAAATTCATTACCAGGCACATCTGTATTCTCACGCATTGCAATTTGATTATCAGGTTCAAGAGCATTCACAGGGGCAATAGGGACATCAACATTCACAGGGGCAATAGGGCCATCAATAGGTATTTCACCTTCATTAACAGGGTTACTGAAAGGAATAACTACACCCCCATTAGCAACAGATCCTAATTCATACATTCTTTCTTTATACCACTTATTCAATAGTGGTGGATCAATCCAACGAAAATACCCACAGTCCTTCTCTTCATCCTACATAACATAGAAAGATGCATGTTTTTAACATAGAAGAATGGTAATTTAGTGAAATAGAAGAATTTGAGTGAGATTTGAAGATTATATACCATGTAATTGTTGGGTTTTGAGCATTCTAACACTCCTAAGTGTACATGCAACCCTAAATACCTTGGATCTATGTTTTCTCTATTATACATACAAATATGAATATCCAAGGTATTATCCTAACTAGCATACCAAAACATTGATACTAGGGTAATAGAATAGATAGAATACATACCTTGTTGTTGTTGCTTGACTCCATGAAGCTTGAGAGCCTAGTGCCCCAAGTGTGACACCTCAAATGGTTCACACAACATCATGAACACTTGGAATAACCAAGAGAAGAAGACACTCCAAGCTCAAATTGACTAGACCTCACATATGTATCACTTGTGCAACTTTCTTGCGCTAAAGGGGTCCTTATATAGTGTGCACATTAGGGTTACTCCATGTAACCCATGACTTTACCCATTCCTTATGCTCTATGGGTTTTAACCTCCATGGAGTATCCATGGGTCACCACATGGGTTAAACCCAACATAAGGAATCTTGGATCATAAGCCCACATATATAAGAATGAATGATTTACACAATCAATCCCCATATATTTAATTAGTCTCTTTTGATCACTAAATTAAGTCCAAATTAATTCTTGATCAATACTAATTAAATAACATGATTTCATATTAATATATTAGAACTTATAATATATTAATATGTCACAAATGTCTTCTTCTCATAAAACGGTCTATCCAAATGTTCCGATGCCATGCAACCCAAATGGACCATGTCGGGTCGGGTCAAGTACATACCAATTATAGTTATGGACTTAGACACTAATCCAACAGTCTCCCACTTGGATAAGTCTAAAACTATTATTGCATATGACTTCAAGAACCAACTGGCAATCGTAGCTCTCAAAAGCCGTTGTCGAACTCTGACATTGTCGATGAACTCTAACCTTTGTCAATGACTTGTCCATTAGATAAGGGATCATATATTCCTCCATTCTAGATATCATATGGATTGAGACATGGATTATAAATCATTCTCTCTGTCCATGTGTTGTTTCCCGATTTCCGATTTATGACGACTGACTAATTGAACAAATCAAATTAGTCCAGGCCCGGCCGAGCACTTACGTTTGTCATCACTAAATCATCGAGGGGCCCACATATATCGCTTTTATCCCGAAGGTAAAAGGAATGGATAAACTTCGACTCATATGGCTTGTTCTACTACTTGTTGAATCATACACAAAGGCACGTCTTATAACATCGAGTTACCAATGCGTTTTCGCGCAATCAATGTACAACCAACTCATAGTAACAACTCATATCTCTAGGTTTGAAGAATATAAGATATTATCGTCTCATGATCACTCGTGATAAAATCCATGAAGTGGTTCAAATGAGCGCGGGTTGAATCCAATACTCATAACTTATGAGCACTCATGAGTGTTGTAGCACCGCTTTGTCCAACATCTTAGACCTCTACAAGCCAACCCATGACAGTCTTGATTCATATCTACTTCCAACATATGATCGACTGTGGATGGTTTGAATAACTTAGTCATTCGGGAAGAATGACCTAGTTTATTCTGGAAGTCAAAACATGCAAAATGAAACACAAGAATAATCGAATCCAATATGGTCTCAGAACTTATGAATATAAATAAAACACCTTTTATTTATCACCATATTGATTACCCATTATTCATTGTATACTGTTTCAACTATCAACGTTATTCTTGAATTAAAACAATAGTTGTCCCATGCTCCAAGCATGTACACTATGTTTTCTAAACACTAGTCATGCCATACTCTAAGTATGCACACTATGTTTTTCCAAACATTAGTTATGCCATACACCAAGTATGCATACTAAGTTTGTCTATGATCTTTTACTTTGTGAAATAGATCGATTGAACATAATTCCAATGATCCTAATTTCACACTCCCAAATCCATATCGTAAATGTAAGAATTCCAAATTCTTATCATTCATCGAAATCTGTTTTGATTTTAAACTTATATGCACTAACCCTCTTGTAATGATTATGCACAAAGTCACAAAGACTTGTCAACAGACATTACAGAGTATTCCAATGGAGATCAACTCCATGTAAATATCCTTCTTGCATTAAGTTTTTTTTTTCTAATCTTACACAGATTGAATAATTTCCACCTGTGGAAACATTTCCATATTCCCATTTTGGCTATCACTTCTGAACAAGAGTTGCCTCTTTTCAGAATATGTCAATAAGGTCCTCTCCAAAATTTAACACTATACTTCCAACTGTCCATGAGCAACCAATATTTGGTAAACCTTAGATTGTTCTCGACAATTGCTTAATCATTTTAGTCATATCCAATTCTAGATTTTTCCCCTTAACGCCCAGAGCATTTGGAAAATTTAGAAAGGATGAATTATTATAGCACATGCAATCGATCCTATATCCGAAGCATATGGGACACGATTCATGATGTCTCACATAAAGACATGATACTAGACCGGTCTTTTTTTGCTATAATATTTCTATGTCTATTTGCCAAGTTCTTATAATTCAGATTATGAAAAGGGATGCCGTAATCATAATCGAATTTTAGAACGCAAATAATGAACCCATATATAGAATTTCCTTATGTTGAGCCACTCCAACATAAAATTCATATATATAACCTTGACTAAAGACGATTAAAACCTCAATCTAAGCTTTTAGAATTGAAATGAAGTATAATTTCCTCTCCCTTAATTATAGCAAAACAACTTTTCAACCCCTACAACTTCACGAATTGAAACTTTTGTTTTCTATAATTAACATTGCTAACTTGCAATACTTATCATAATTATCATGCTCCCACTAACATGAAAATTATTAGCATAACACTTATGCTCCCACTAGCTTTGACATGTACTCAGAAATCAGCTGGACTTCTAGAAAATAATATTTTATTGACTTTCTTACCAAAGTTCAGATTTCTGATACGATATGCTTTTGATAAAACTTCATCAAAATCATACACCTTTCCTCAGATAGCACACATGTGTGTCTAAACAATTTCAGAACTATGAAAAGGGATGCCGTAATCATAGTCTCAATTGTTAAGAACTTTGCCATTCCTCACTAGTCCATGTTAGTGTGCCGGTTAACCACACACGCTTCACTAACGACTTTGAGAATGCAAATATCACAACTGTTATCTACTTAAAATCTACTTAGTGAAAGTGTTTCCTCACCATCATTTTCATGAATCGGAGAGAAACCTTATGACACTTAGATTTGTTTATGGTGTAAGTGTTCTTATCCATGTGAATTTGTCAAAACCATAATCACAAGACAAGGATAATGACAAATCCAAACTCATATGGACTGAACTCAATCTTAATTTCTTGCCACCTGGCAGCACAAGGGCCTGCCATTGCTTCCATGTTGTTATGCAAACAATTGAGAACTCTCAGAACTCATATGCAAAGCCAACTTTAACTGGAATGGCACAAAAATAGAAATATGTCAAGACGATAGGTTATAAACCTCACGTCGTGTGCTAGTGATGAACTACATGTTTTTATTCTTGATTAGATCTTGAAGCTTTTCCAAGATCTCTAAGACTCCCACTGTCCTCTTGACATATCAGATTCACTTGTCAAGTATTCAAGAAATAGTGCGGATTCTTTATCAAGATAAACACTTTACACAATTGGCCTAAGTTGGTCTTTGTTTTATCCAAAACATCACAACTTACCAATTTCAAATGTACAAGAGTAGGACACTTTTACTCTTACATTTGACAAGTGTTATAAACCTTTCTTTAAGATATATCACTCATCTTACAGTCTTGGAGTATGACTCTAAGACTTGTTTTGGAACGAAGTATGACTCATCTTCTTGATTTAACCATTCCAAGAATTCAAGATTTCTCTTCTTAGTCATAAGAAGCACTAAGATGTCCTTAGAGGACTAATTGTGTCATGATTTCTAAATCATTAAGATGATCATGAAACATGATACTAAAGTACTCTCCCATCTTTTCAGATTTGAGAAACTTTTATCCTTCTGCCTAATTTGATTCTTCTCATTCGTTCTGCCATACACTGAAAATTTTCCAATGCTTCAGAATTATACTTAAGCCTGTAAGTATAACCATATTTACTAAATTTTAGTAAATCATGACGAATAGTCTTATCGATCTTTTGTGGTGGACTTGACCAGTGCACCAAGAATGTGTA